TCAATCAAGACGATTAGATTGGTAGAAACCAATCAGTCAAACCAACAAAGGTGGTCAATCAAGCTGATAAGATCGATTGCGACCAATCATTCAAACCAATGAAAATGGTTGATTGAGCTGATCTAGCATGTGGCTGCCAATTGGTCGAATTGATGGAGATGATTGATCAAGCAGATCAGACCGATGGCGACCGATCAGTCAAGCCGGTTAAAATAGTTGATCAAGCTAATCGGGTTGGTGGCAACAGATCAGCCAAAATGACGGGAATGATTGATCGAACCGGTGACAGGCGATTGGTCAAATCGATAAGAACAGTTGATCGAGTCAATCAAGCCAGTGGAAGCCAATCACTCAAGCCAACGATAATAGTCAATCGAGTCGATCGATCGATTGATGACAATAATTGATCTAGTTAGTTAGATCAGTAGCAACCAATCGGTCGAACTAAAGGAGAAGGTCAATCGAGCTGATCGTGTCAGGGGTTGTCAATCGACCGTACCTAAGGAAATGGTCGATCAAGCAAATTAGGCAGGTGGCGACTGATCGAACCAACATAGATGGTCGATCGATTTGATCGAGTTGGTGACAGTTGATCGGTAGAACTGAAGGAGGCGATTGATAGAGCCGATCGGGCAGGTGGCAACCAATCGGGTCAGTGGCGGCCAATTGGCCGAATTGCTGGATATAGTCAATCAACTAGATGAGTCTCACCATGTCTCCATAATGCTTCAATCAGTTTGCAGGCCTACTAAAAGAGACTAATCCACCAAAAAATTTAGTCTTTGAAGATTTATACAGAATGAAAAAGTTGGTCTCCAAGTTAGATCTTAAAGTAGAGAAGATTAATTGTTATGTAAGTGGGTGTATGCTATATCACAAGACTAGTGCAATGGAGACTCAGTGCAGATTTTTTAATTCTCCTAGATTCAAACCTCAAAGCAGAAAAAATAATAGATGGAAGGAAGTTCCGTTCAAGCGTCTCTTTTATCTTCCAATTATTCCACATCTACAAAGATTATACAATTCTATGTATACTGCTCCACATCTGACGTAGCATCAGAGCAGAACAATAGAAAATAACTCAATGAATCATCCAGCGGATGGGGAGGCGTAGAATTTTTTTGATCACTCATATCCTGAGTTTGCTGCGGAGGCACGTAACATCCGACCAGGTTCATGCTCTTATGACGTAATAATGTAAGGTCAAATTGCATCGCTCTACTCGTATTAGTTGGTTATTGTTACGTTATACAATCTGCCACTTGAGATGTGCATGAAAAGCCCCTTCTTCTTCTTGACACTGATTATAACTGGTCCAAGTAATCATAAAGGGAAAATTGATGTATATTTGCAATTATTGATAGATGAGCTACAAATTCTTTAGGAAATAGATGACATGACATACAACATCTCCAGGAAATATAATTTGTAGATGAAAATAACCTTAATGTGTATAATAAGTGATTTTTCTATATATGAAATGTTATATGGGTGGAGCACCACGAGAAAGTTAGGCTGCCCATATCGCTTGAATTCATCTACAACATTTACGTTTCGGCATGACAGAAAGAATTCATCGTTTAACTCACCGTATGTTTTTAGATGTTGAACATCCATTCAGGAGGAGCATGAATGCATTCAGAAGAAACAAAATTGAGAAATCCTCGCCACCTCCAAGAATAACTTGAGAATATATAATTCAAATTGTTAATGTAATTCCAAGGATTATTGTATGTCGACCTTTCTTCACATCATCCACCCTGATTTCGTGTAACTCATAATTGGGCAAAGAAGTCAATTATTTCGGATGTGCATTATTGGAATGATAATATGATCAGTCACAATATGGATTCATGCACATAAAAAAAAATTCTTTGATAATATCTTCAACCTGTGATGGATGTTAGTGAAAAAATGAAGGAAAACGTGAATACAATAGTTGATTTGAAGGAGATATGCAAAAGACAGGAGTTGGAGATACAAGAAACAACTATCGACAAGCTCATTAAGCCTAAAGAAAAATACTCCATCATATTTTCTAAATGAAGAACAATTTGTGAGTGGCTCCAATCCCTAAATTTGTTAAGTGGGCATGCTTTCAATTTGAGTCGTTGTGTTGATGTGGATGCTGGAAAAATTTTTGGGATGAAAATTCACGACTGCAATATTTTTTATAAAATTGGATGCCAATATTATTTGGTTATTTGTAGAGTGAAGCCCTTAATCTATTGATTGAAATCAGTGTGTTCTTCAGGTAACAATGTGCATCTCATTTGAATCTTGACGGTGCATGCCAGCTAGAAGCAAACATTCCTATAACACTTTGCAAGCTTGAGAGAATATTTTCGTTTATTTTCTTCGACTCGATGGAGCATCTCACTGTACATTTCCCCCATGAGGCATTAATTGGAGGTCCGATACAATATCACTTGATGTATTCATTTGAGAGGTAATTACATTGAAACTAGATAGTTAGTTACTCATTTATAAATAATATTGGTAATTTGTTCTGAGCAATATTTATTGTTTAAATTTTTGAATAAACTGAAGAGAACAATGAAGAATAAGGTCCGACTAGAAGGATTGATATGTGAAGCATATTTGTTACAGGAGACAATGACATTCTGCTCCTACTATTTCACGAAAGAATTGTCCAAAAAAGAGTTTTTCAGCAGTTAGGTGAAAAATCAAGGAAGTGCACATTACATTACTTTAATGATCAAGAACTTCAAGCAACGACAGTTTATATTCATCTTAATTGCAATGAAGTGCAACTCTTTATTGACTAAGATATTTTTTCATTATAATTTTTAACTCATTTTTCTGAAAAGTGTCATGATTAACATTTCAATGATATTTCAATGTGTGAAGAGTTTTTTCGTGGATTTGTTAAATTTAGTTGAAGACGATGATAGAAGCGGGGAGATTGAGAATAAATTTCCTCGGCATTTTACAATGTATTTGAGTTAAAATTGGTATATTCAATCCTCATGTGACATGAGGTTTTTCATTAACACAAAATTATTTATGTATATATTAATAGATTCATGATTAGAAAAATTGAGTGACAGATCAGAGGTTGATAAATCTTGTTTGGGGACTTATGCACATCTTGAAAATCTAGCAAATTTATGATGTAAATGGGTACATGTTTCATACAAGATTCTAGCCCAAACGATTTTTTTTTTTAATTTCGTTGTTTGTGTTAAAGCAAACGATAAGTCAAACAATGAGATAGACTATAATGAGATTCTAAAATAAGTTATTAAACTATCTTATCCAAGCTCTATTGAAGTAAGTGTAATCCTATTTAACTGTACTTGATTTGATCATGTTCCTAATTGCGGAACAATGGTAAATATTATATATAATATCACAGAAATGAAAGTGAATAGAAGATATGCTAAATTTAATCCTTTCATTCTAGCGCGACAGACAAGTCAGGTTTACTATCTTCGATATCCACATAGAGCAAGAGATAACATTGATTGGATGACTGTTATTTCAAGTAAAACAAGAGACACAATTAATATTCATATTATTAAAAACCAATGAATCTTAAGTGTTGTAGATTCATAACTTAATTTACAAGTTGACTATACTCTAAAATCTTGTAGCACACAAGTTTTTAAGTAATAAAAAATTATTAAATCATGAGGTATAATCGTTACTTAAGGGCCACACAAAAGAAAGGAAATACATACAAAACAACTTTGCTTCAAGATATAATAGGGCCACACTATTTTGAGGGTGTGGCTTGAATCAAAAGAGAAAAAAAATACAATATTACTTGAAATAGTTTTTTATCATCTCTATGTGAAAGGAGAGTGACACTTATTGTTCAAACAGTCTTTCATTAATTTGAAGGAGGGGCCATCCAAGCTTTGTTTGGATTTGATTGGAGACTGATTTTGAAACTTTCCAATTGGAGAAGATAACCAATCATGCAAGAGTTAAATAGAAATACAACTTTCTATTTTATCTTCTAAATCCTTATGCTAAATGTTTCTTAAATTTGCGATATTCATACAAGTTGCCTTCAACTAATTATGCTTCATGATCGTATTAGATTTATTTTTAACCTCGTCTTTTTTTTTCCTATTATGAAATGCATAATTGTAAAGGACAAACAATGCAGTGGAGAATTCAATTAGTAAAGTTAGGTATAAAATAGTTTATACTGTGCATGTGCAATATATTTTGTGTGAATCTTTCCTTCTCCACGCATGTATGCAGGCATAATTTTTTGTTTCAAATTCATAGATCAAGGAGACAAAATAAATAAATAAATAAATAAGAACACGCATAGATCAAGGAGGCAGTTTGCGTCTCACAATCATCATAAAATCAGAATATTTTCAACATATACTTCCCTGATATGTTAAATATTATAATAGCATATAAAAGACAACTTGTCTAATTTTATAGCCTCTCCTATACTGTATTATGCTCATGATTTCATTATATATATACATATATTTATACTTTATTGTTATTTTAAGTTTTTCATCGATATTCTTTTATATTTGAAGTGATCCTATTAGCTAACTTAGCAATTGATATATTTGAAAAACTGTAAGTGCATGTCGTTAAGCGTATCTGCGCGTCGAACTGTAGATTATCTGAACCACAGATCAAATATTTTGTGCTTTCACGCTGAACTGAACCAAACCTAGTGGCATCTCAACAGCCAACTAGCTAAAAAAAACATTAAAATCATATACCGTACGAGATTTCATTGCTGTCTTATTTTATGTTTTCATCATGAATCATCAATGCCAATATCTTAATCAATCATTTAGTGCGTGCCATTCCCTACTGTCCTCCATATGACAATGTGCCAATAAATATATTTATTAGCATGCCAAACTGTTATTAGCCCCTGTATATTTAAGAAGCATGAAAAATGGTAAATCTTATTATCATTAAATAATTATATGTGGTACATGAAAATGAAAATATTAAGGTTTCAAGAAAATAAAATATGTTTCACTTATCACTCAAGAACGGTGTAGATATGCATAGGCTATAGATTGAAGGTCCTCCATATCACGATAATTGTAAGCTGTTCTCATTTCACAATATGATTCATCTTCCACACTTGAAGAGATGAAATCATCCTGAGAAGAAGATTCACAGTTCATCATTGGATTTGAAGATGATGGCTTGTTCATTCTTTCATCCATTGCCTGAGCCATAAATCCCTGCACATCTTGCTGATATGCTGCATATCTATTGTAGGCTTTCCCAGCCTCTTGGGCTACAGAAGCTTCAGCCAAGCCATGAATATTATTACCAGCTCCTTGTGCTGCTTGATGGGCCTTTAAAGAAGCAAGTTGTGCTTGCAAACTCACAACCTGATAAACACGTGCTATTAGAAAATAATTCATGAGTTGATGATTGATATATTATGATGAAGAGTAGTTAATTATACTCACTTGTTGTTGCAGAGCAAAAATATGAGCAACACAGCCATAGATTGGGTCTTGAAGCCTGGCTTGGGCCTCATAAGAGATAGTTATGGCAGCCTCGGATCTATCGGTGACAGGAAGGTGCATGAGGAGCTTAGAGACATTGCTGGCTCCGAAGACCTTATGAATTGCTGCGAAATGTGAAGCTCCTTGCTCATGGCAAAAGTAAGGAGCAAACACACATCCCCTCACACACTTTCTTCTCAAGAACTTGCACGCTCCACAAGGAGAGCCAAGCCCTGTCATTGTTTTCAAGTGCTCGTAAATTGGATGCTTTTGCTTTACTCTCTCGCTCTTTCTCTATTTGTTTTCTTGGAGGTTTTGGTGTTTCACCAAACGTTTACTTATAAGCACAAGGATGAAGGGGAATGAATGATTTAGCAAGGAATAATAAATTTGGAGCGGTCTCCTTAGTGGCCAACAGGTTTCATTATTTAATCCATGTGGTGGCCCTTCTTCAACTCATCTCATGTAAAGAAACTGAAATGAGATTCCAAGGAGAGGGCCTCAACAAGAGAAACGGAGCTAACACTGACCCAACCCATTTTTGTTTGTTTGGTGAAGCAATTTTGTATTGATTTTTAAATTTTAATTATCGGTTGGTGGCATTGTCCAGCTATTTGATCAACTTCACTGTGGGTGTAAAATTAATTACAATGATTTGGACGTTGGATTGGAAAAGGTTTATTGGAATGTGCAAGTCTGGCTCGTTTGGGTTTGACTAGCTTATTTGAACAAAGGCTTGAACTCAAGATATACAAGTTATGCATAAATACATTAATACACATCTTTTAGCTTTTTAATATAGTAATCACTAACAAAACTTATATTTTTTTAAAAAAATTATTTTGCTCTTTGATAAATGTTCGTTTGAATGTCGGGCCATATTAATTATGAAGGCATGCATGTGCGAGCATATATTAATTTATAATTAAATTCAGGAGATTGTGGTAGTTATTTGGACCCTAGACAACTGAGGCTGTAAGAACTGAACTGCAAATTAAAGGGGATATTGTTTTGCAGTTGTTACTGCATGGAGGAAAGATTATGAGGTATAATAAATATTAAGTGCGGTGATTGTATGTCTGGACAACACTCAGGATGGACCGTCATAACCCAGTTGCTATGTTTGCATCATGTATAAACCGCATGTAGTATTTTCTCGAACTAATAAATTTTGAGCATTGGATTTATGGTGCTGGCTTGTATTATTAGCTGCAGCTAATACTGTTGGATGGTGTGCCAATCTCTACCAAAGGGGCCCTAAGCTTCATTTTAGTTTGGTTTTCTTTTACATAATTTTCTTAGAAATAACATTTTAAAATATAATTTGCTCAATAAAATTCGCCATTTCGTGCACACGCCTTCGCGCAATAGATTGCTCGAATTTCTGTATTTCAAAAACATAGAGGTATCAAATTAAAATAGAATTTCTTATTGATATTTATGTGTATACCATGTAATTTTTTTTAATAATGATTAATGTTGTACAATCTTTGTAAAATGCTTCTATTTATGTTTCATGATGTAACTATTTATAAAATAGAAAGTATGCTTATAAAAATGATCAAAGAGAGTCGGAATTTATGTGACACAAATATTTGACTCGACTGTATTGATTTGCGGCAAGCATTCTTAATGATGAATTTTGTACGTCGTCGACATTAATGGCGACATTTTCATATTTATCATTGTAAAGGGAATTTTGGATGCTAAAGTCGACGCAAAATACCTTGCGTCAGAAAGGCCGACATAAATCTGACACCTAGTCTTTAAAATCTAGCCCCACGTACGTTAGACTCGTTCGCGCTCTCCATTATTCTATTGTTTTCTTTAGAGAAAAACTAGCTCTCCCATGACTCTTCAGGGACCCCTCTATCGCTCCTCTCCAGCGACCATCTGGTGATTGTCTGACGGCCTTAAAACTCGTACAAACCCTAGTATTTGAGAGTTCCTCTAAGATAATTTTTTTTTCCCACATTTTGTCAAATCCTTTATTTTTTTCTTTACCAAATTATTCGATTTTACTTTAGGCTTAATTATGAGGGTTTAGTTATATGTTATGAGGTGCTTGTCTACAAGATTTAGTGAATTCAAAAATAGTAAACTCGTCAAATCCACACTCTTGGATTTAGTAAAGCCTTATTTAAGCAATTGAAGGCAAAATTTTGGTCCTTAAATTCCGACAATTGTAAATCTATAGAACTCTTGCATTTTTTGTTCTTAGTTAGGGAGTGTTGGGTAAATCCATTTGCACATATATGTATGTATGTGTGTGTGTTTAAGCATGTATATATAAAATATATGTGCAAATGGATTTATGTGTGTGCCTGTGTGCTAATTTGTTAATTTGCTTATCTAGATATTTATGTTTATATGTATTTCTGTATCTACAAATATTTGTATGTGTTTGTCTATTTATATTTATGTGTGTGTGCGGACACGCATAATTATTTGTTTGTATATATATTTATTTCTATATATTTGCATGTATATGTGCATATGTTAGATTTTTAAGTTTAGGTTGGTATACATAATTATATATGAAATTTCATTTGTATAAATGATGATTTAAATGTCTTAATCCTTAAATATGTATTTTGGCAACTATTGGATATTCGAAATTTGAGTTTATGGGTGAATAATAGATTGTATCCAAGTAGAAAAGTACTCATTTATGAGTTCTTAAAATTTATGTAGGTGGTCTCATAGTTGTCATTTATCTTTCAAAATGAAAGTTTTGATGCGCATGTGCGAAACACAAAAATCAAAAGTGTACTTAACACCTGGTGAAGTTAAACTGGATTTGCACTCACTACGTACAGGAAAAACACTCAAAACCAGCAGGAAAATCGATGGCTTTACGTTGGTCGGAAATTTTGTACATTTTCCCTACTAAATAAACTGCAGGTTCCTCGTTAAAAACTGGCGCACTATGTGAATTGACCGAATGATCAATTCATGTCGACTCATTAACAGACGGTCCAATGTCGTCGATAATGGACGACGTCGGTCTTCCTCAACTACATATTGATGGATATTTTACGTTAACTGACAAACTAACCTTTGATTATTATGTTCTAGTTATCTAAGGCCACGGGTGGTGTCGGTTAGCAGTCGAAAATACCCTATATTTCGTACTGACTCGAATCCCTCATTGTCATTCTTTCCCGCTTGCATATGCGTTCAGATCGGAGGAGGAGATTTAGACCGCATTCGTCGCATGATTTATTATTTCTCAAGTTTTTTGTTTCATATCGAAGCTGATGACGATTCCAACTTTCATTTATATTTTTATTTAATTCCATCTGTTACTTTTGTTGGCATTTTGGAGTCTGTTTTGAGGAAAAATGAGATTTTTTATTCAAATTTTTATTTTTCTTGTTATATATCTGCATACGTACCGATGAATTCTTATGTATTTAACTATCTAACACCTAAAACCGGCAGTTTTTATACATATGCGGCAATGTATGTAAATGCCCCATAAAAAAGTTGCATTACCTCTTTTTTCTTCTTGTTTTGTTTCTATAAAGCACGAATGTTATGGAATGAAAAAAAAAAAATTTACATTTAACTTTATTGTCTTTATCATCACATTTATTGAGTCAAATTTGATTATTGAGAATCCTAATTTTATGTGAGTAATGAGTTGGTTATTAAACCATAAATGAGACAAAGAAAGGCAAGTATGTTATTAGGCCATTAATAAAATGATGAAAATTGAGTTGGCTTTTAGTCCATATTTTAACTCGGTATGTGAATTTGTCGAGCTGGGTGTGATTGTCTTTCTTATGTGAGTTTGCTCTCTAGGTTAGTTAAGCTCACTTTGTTAAGCAAGTTAGCTCTTTGGGCCAATTAAGCTCACATGGGAGTTGGCTCTGAGTTGGTTAAGCCTGCATTTTTGTATAAGTTGGCTCTTTGATTTGAATAAGATCCTTTTCATTATCATAGGTAGCTCTTCATGCCAGTTAAGCTCAGTTGAGTTTTTGTTCAGTTTACCCAAGTCTTACTTGTTGTCATTCCCTTTTCAATATCCCTTTGTAGAGGTACTCATTTAGACTTGTAAATAGTGTAGACTCTCCTGCTAATCATTAAAGATCTTATTGCAAAAGGAGAGTTGGACTTTATGCCCCAGCCATTTCAATGATGATATATGTGGATTGGTTCATTAATATCTTGGGATTGAAGGTGAGTTGAGGGTGAATTATTCTGATGTTTAAAACATTATGAAAAAAATAATATATAATTAATAGTTTTTTCTACTATTTATTGATAATGTTTTCTCTTTTGGTTTGGTTTTGTTATTAGATAAATATAAGGGCTTTGCTCATTAAGACCTTTAGAATCATATTTTTTTCTTGTATTGCAACTCAATGGTAGAAAGATGTAATGCAACCTTTTTTAGCTCCTATCTCGCCACTGTTCCCATTCAAGATTGGCCTTCTTCCCATCATCATCTTTCAAGCTCTGTCTCACCATTGTTCCAACTCAATGTCAACATTCACCCTCTGCATCCGCCTCAATTTTGGCAACCTCAATAAATCCAACCTTACGTGACCATAGTCATCTAGATTCATTATCCTAATCATCATCCTCCAATTTTGGTTGCAATTTTGTTTGTTCTCCCGAGATTGAACTCCGCCACACTTCTATCAGCGCTACCAATTCTATTGAATCCAAATTTTGAGCCACTAAGAGTTCTATCTTTTGTTGACACTACAAATTCCATCAAATTATTGGGATTTTTTTCCTGCAACCTTCTACAATCCACAAGATCTAACAGTCGCCACATCTAAGATCCACTTTACAAAATTATTAAGGCTTAACAATTGATGTTATTGGTCACATTAGAAATAATTAGAGGCATAGCTTAGATGTCCGAGCAACAGGAAGAATGAAATTTTTTCCATCAGTGTTCATGCCCAAATATGAGTCATATGACACACAATTGCTTATTCTACTTGCCAGAAATGTAAGATTCTATTTATTTTCTTAAATTTTCTTTCTTAGACTGAAAGGTAACACCAAAAAAATCATACAAACATTTATGTTTAATTATTGATCTATGTTTATTGCGCTTTATGATGCGTTGGTTTTTGTGATGGTTAAGGATACCTATGGATATTTGTACATCAAGGTCATGGATGTACAATAGACTTTATCCAGATAGAAAAGGAATCACTAAGGATTTCTTGAACGATATTAAGGTCTTTGTGGCATCAACATCTAAACTTTTGATAGAT